TACTTTAGAAGTTCTCTATCAGTTTACAATGTATCTGATGAGATTAAAAGCTGATTTGGTCAAACATTACCTCATGACAAAATCTCGATCGTCATAATTAAACCAAAACCATCTCTCTCGCACCCTTTGCTTCGCACTAGTGGATAATATTCCGAATCATTGCTGGAATCATCTACAAATACTATCATTCGTAATCGTCGAACCGTAACACACTTGGAGTACATGCACGTTGAAAACTGAATTTACTCCGTTACTTTACCCGACGGGATTTTCGCGGTGTAAAGTACTCTCGTGTAAGCGATTTACACTCGAGTAAAGTGTTGGTGAAACGCTCCAAGAAGTTACTCTCGAGTAAACATGATTGACTCCAGAGTAAACTCTTACTCTTTGTTTGGTGAAACCGGCCCTGAATTGGTTACGTTTATTCTATGACCGAAATCGAAAACCCGTAAGCGAAATGAGAATGTGGATCCAGAAGCAAGCAGCTTTTAACACACAAGGATGATTTCAAGCGTACTATTGAAAGAAACTCAAAAGTCAGACTTGCTTGAAACGACAAGACGTTGTATATGACGTTAATTAAAGAGCTAATTTTGCAGATTTTGTCTGAGGCAAAAATCTCTATATTCAATTTTGAAGTTTTTTAAGTTTTTTGTTGTTGAAATTTTAAAAAACCGAGCAATACTCAAAAATGAGACTTGTGCCATATTTTTTATCGTCTCTCGTTACAAAAGTAAAGAAAAATTAAAGAAAAAAATTGGAGCGGTTTTTGAGAAAATGTTTCTTTTGTAAATGTCAATCTCAAAATATTCAAAAACTACTCTTTTCAAAAAACTATACAAGAACTTTTTGAAGAGCTAATTTTGTACAACAGTCCGAGTCTGAAAAAAAATATTTCCAATTTTGAAGTTTTAAAATATTTTTTCCAATTTTCGAAAAATGGGAACGTCAACGAAAATGAGACATGCACCATTCTCTTAAACGTCCTGGTCTTAAGTTTCACATTCACTGGTCCGCGACATTAGCTAGAACGATTGATGAATATCAATTTTGGAGAAAATCGGCTGAATGGTTTATGCGCTAGCGTTGTAAACCGACTGGTTGACACTATGGTGTTATAAATTTCAACTTCAAAATTTGATCCAAAATAGGTTTTAAATTTTTTTCGCGGAAAGTGCTTCATTGGCACCGGTTTTTTAATTGTTTATAGTTCAGTACAATTTTTTTGGTACAAAATTAGTAGAATAGTATAGGTTACTTGGTTTTGAATTTCTGAGAAGTGGGAGTGCTCACTTGATGTCAAGCTAGCACCCCCGCTTTTGGATGTGTTTTTTATTGTGGTACAAAATTATAGGCTAGTTATTTTAAATTTTTATCAAGTAGGGGTTCCATAGGTGCCAACCTTCGCTACTGCGGGCTGCGGCCACCGCCATCATCTTCGCCGAGCCACGGCAAAAGGGATTGCCCCTACCTCTCGGCAAATGAAAACAGACAGATGAACTGGACGTTGATCCCATAACATGCAATGTTCATAGTATTAGTTAGTTTGTTTTTGATGCCGGGAGAGCCGCACATTTGCTGTGTAACTTAGGACACTAATTTTTATTATAAGCTTGTTTCTACCAAGTGAATATTTCTCTTCTCGATAATGCATGCAATACCACCTTCCCGCATCCCTCGATGTAGGAGAAAGGGGAAAATCAAATTATAATTTCTAAGAAGGGAGAGTAATTATTACAATGATCAGTGTAGTCTCTAATTGTGTATAAACAGTTATACAACAGAAAATATTTTACTCTTACTTATAACTTAACTTTGTGAACCGACTTCAATTGTATAATGTCATCTGACAATGCATTGTAAAGTAACGTACATGTATTGTATGTGGATTTCTGATAGTGAGCTGTTAATTTTGACACTTGAATGTGATTTCTACGACGCGTGTTGTAATTATATATAACAGTAATGCTGAAAATATTTTCCCAGTAAGTCAGTTTTGGCAAATATTACCAATTCGTAAATAAGTAGGCAAGGTAATGTTAAGATTCCAAACTCTATGAAGAGCGCGCAATAAAACGCGACTTTTCATACGTAAACATTCTCCAGAAAGTCTTTAGCAAACAGCTAAATATTGCTAGCCAACCCCCCGCCCCGCCCTCAATTGCACGCACGACGTCCACCCATCAACAACGCGCTCTCCTGATGGGGGCGCACGGGCCGTCGAGAGAGCTGGTCCCAAGGTGAGTTGCGCTGACGCCACTCGACCACCGCGATAAGAGCCGGCAAAGAAGAAAACTTGAATTTACGCCCGGTGAGAAATGCGACGAACGCCCACCGGCCATTGCGTAACGTGTGCTTGAGGTTGCCGGGCTCCCGCCCCCGCGCTCACCTCTTCGATCGGCGCGTGCTGTCGACGCAGTACGTGACGCTGCGAAAACGCGCGTCGGTCGACGTGGCGCGGCGTCGTCTCGAAGCTTCTGTAGCATTTTACCAACACAGGCAACAGAAAGGGGGCATGGTCCCTCCAAAGCCAACATTTTTTTGTAGTTTTACTCGATTTACTGAACATAGTACAAACGTCGGTATATAACAGGATAAATGACGCGGTTGAAGTTTGTGAAACGAGATAGCTTAAGTTTATTACGAGGGGGTGGATTTTGATGACCTAAAACATTGCCAAAAATGATCAATAAAATTCTCTTAAAATGTTTTTAAAATGACATAAAGAAACAAAAGAAAATTGACGAAAAAATTTGATCAAAAGACCAGATCAGATCAACAACTTAAGCTGTTGGATATGCTACTGATGTAATCGAGACTTCTTCCGTTTGTTCAATTGAACTTAGCTTGCCAATGTTTTGGTTTGGACAGGTCTTTAAAAGAGTACCTCTGCCTTTATTTATAGCGAAATCGGACGAACTGACAATGGCGCAGATAGGCGTCACGGGAACCTTAGAATACATAGTACTCGCAACGACTGACATTACAATATACGAGCCACGAAATCAAAGAGGCTACTCAGGAATTCTGTGGTGAACATTTGTTGCATTTCGTAAACATTGTTTGAAGCAAGTACCATTAAAATTATATTAAAATCAATTAAATTAGCGAAAATGCATTAAGAGTAATGTAAAAAGTTTAAAAAATGACTTATCAGTCAAAATTGTCGAAAAATGCAAAAATACATAAAATGTTTCATTTCGTTTTGTGATAAAATGAATTTCTATATTAAAAAGCATTGTTTTAAAGTTAAAAAAAGACATTTCATTAAAATCCACCCCTTATAACCGGGTCAGTTTTTTGCGATATCGGCCGCGCATCGCTTAATACTTATCGTAATACTACTTATTATAAGACAAGATAATAAAAATATACATTTTCTTGAAGTATGAGAACTTACACGCCAACTTCAACCACAATTAATTTGTTTCGATTGTTCTTAACGGCCGGGGATCAGTGCAATTATTAACGGATGCCGGACGTTAAGAGTGGTTTTTCGTGCTTTTGTTTGATTGCGATAAAACGATATAACAAAACAATATTAAGAAACATAATTGTGCAATTTGATCCGGAACAGAAAAAAAAAACAAAATAAAAAGTGTCATACACTGGGCACAGCTGTTTGTTTGTGATAATTAGCAACAATTTAGGGAACAATATGTTTCTGAAACGTTTTTCGTTCATCTAGTGAATTCTATGCTGTTGACGTCACCCTGAAAGAATTTTTATCCTAACACAATGTACGCTGTTATCCATTTGGATGGATTGCTCTCGGTTACTTGCAGAGATGAGGTGACTTAATAAATATTCGCTCCCGAATAAAGCAACTATTTTTCCTCGAAAAAACTAGCTACATAATTGATATAATAGTCTTACTGCCGAAATACCCCTTTCCCCAATCACACACATACCCTCCTCTAGAATTAAGCGAGATGATGGCTCAAGGAAACCTGCGCCGATAACACCCACCATCATACAGTCTCCTTTCCTCATCCCTGAACTTACGCTTACTTTTATACCAAGATATAATACAGCGCTTTAAAATCATTTCAGCTATTCAATGGCTGGTTGAGGCGTTGCTAATTGCTTAAGGACATTAATCTACCCAATGTTTTAACGATTACTGAATTCACATCATATTTACTTAAAATCAGTCGATCTTCATAAAATGTTTTTCAAGTGCTGAATGAAGCACAGTATTAGAAATTTTAGAACGGGAAAAAAAGCCTTGATAGATACTTCACCGGCTCCAATGCTATTATACTAGAACTTCATTCATGACCCTGCGTTCAAATTCCGCGCCATTTAGAGCAATCTAAATACTCATAGAAAACAAAAGGTACACTGCAAATAACAAGACATTAAGAAGAGCGGAATCATTTGAAATGGAACTTTCCGATAAACTTACTGCAAAGCAAGTGCTACATAGTTTTGATGAGTCAGCATTATAAAGAGATTATATAACATGTTTGTCTGGTAAGATAGCACTAGATAACCAAGATTGTTCCTAAATCAATAATTTAAGCAGTGTACAAGTGTTTATTTGCAGTTTGCAGTACTTAATTTTTTAAAAAAACTACTCCCATTATTTCACTACTTTAATGTTACGTAATATGTTATTAATTTAATTTTCATACTAATATTTTTTCGAACTCCCCTTATGTTTTACAATGAAAAATATTCTTACTTGCTTTCGAAAAACTACTCGCTCTCCAATAATTATTTTTTTCATTGAGCTAATAATGTTGACTCCATAAACATATTTACGTAGTTGATCAACACATGTATTAATACATAGAGCGCTTTATCAGCGCGTAAACTAAGATGAGGGAGAGGGAATGATCAAATGAGTAAAAATGAGTTGCCTATTAAGAAACGTACACAACAGGTTCCGACTTATTGTTATGGTACTTGGAAACTGAACAATAACATAAATACTTCGCAAACAAATGAAATGCTATATTTAACTTGTTTCAGACAAAGACAGATCAAGGACTCACCTTCAGATCCTTCTTGTAATTTACCAGCTGATCAGTAGCAGGATCGCGAGCCATGGTGCTGGTAATTCAGAAAACCGCAAGATCAAACAGCAGCAACCAGCTGCACAGCAACAGCAGACAAGAATGGTGAATGTTACTGAGACAGCCTGCCTTTTATTGGTTCGCTAGAACGCCTTCGATTACTACGCTACCTAGGAACCAGCGTACAAAGTAGATGCAGTAGACGTCACGAAACGATGTGTATTACTGGCTCCTACGTGCGAAGCCTTACTTTCACAAGGGGGAGAACATAGTTCCCCCACCATCAAGAAAGCCTGGCGGAGACGTCGAAACTGGGCATTTGCTATTGGTCAGCCACGTCCGGAATCGCAGTTGCTCTTCACGCGCGAACTGCGTGTGATTCACGACGTTCGACCCGTGGAGGGCCGGTTCACTCAATGTTAAAATGCGGGGTACTAAGTTTGTTTCCTCAGTCATGGGCCTGTTGCAGATAGCGCAGCTGTTGCGGTACCGCGCATTTTCAAAGTAAGGTTGAGCGAATTATTTGTGGTGCGTGTAGGAAATATCAAAGAGTATGATCTGCTTTTCTTATCATTCAGATTAACTTAATTTAAATAATATTTTTAAATATTGTATTAGATGTTTATACTTAAAACCAAAATTGTAAAGTGATTTAAGAAGAGATGAAATAGTTGTTTTACCGTAAGAGGTTTTTTGATTCAGGTAATTACAGAAAAGATGGTACATTTTTTTGGACAAAAGAATTCTTTTTCTGACCCATTGAACAAGTTGTTGCTACAAGCTTATCGATAACGTGAACAACATAGAAGTGATGAAACGTAGCACGTAACTTCTAAAGGGATTTTGTGGGTTAGGGCAGGTATCTCGCAAGACTAAAATGTATGTATCTAGTTGAAAAAAAAACATAAAACAAACAATAAGAGAAATGATCAATTTAAAAACTTCATGTTTTTCATTGTATCTTCACTTTTAAAGTAATTAAGGATAAAAT